ATCTTATTCTTCTTTCTTATTTTTTAAGTTCCTGTTTACAAGAGTATCTTCTTGTACCCTCAGAGTGTGCATGGACTCCACAACTCCAGGTCCATATTTCCTATTTTATTTTTTTGACATTTTCTGAAGGGACTGCTTATTTTCTGGTTTCAGCCATTGTAAATGGAATTATTTCAAAATCTGGCCAGCCCTGAATTTACTGTTCTGTCATCTTAAAAGGAAATAAAACAAAACAAAATGTCACCATAGTGCAACAAATGCTTCCTTTCTGTGGAAAACAAAATGAGAGTATCTTTTGAAATCAGTCTAGCAGTTCCTCAGAAATATGTAGGTATGTCAGGAATTACTGTAAAATGCAGTAATCCACCTCCCAGGTAACTGTGTAAGAAGAATGCATGCAAAAGGATCAACCTGCAAGGTCCTAACGGCAGTGTTCATGATAGTCAGAATGGGAAAATAATCTGAAGTGCCCATCAAATGACGATTGCATAACACAAAATATGGAATGGATGTTAAATGATGAGAAAAAGGAATAAAGTAATGATTTATCCAACAACATAAATGAGTTTTGAATATGTGTGCTTAGTACAAAAGCTGATAACAAAGGGAGACATGTAGTTTCATTATAACAAGAGTCCAAAATAAGCAGATCTATAGAGAAAAAAATTAGTTGAGTGATTGCTTAGAGTACAGATAAATTGAGAAGAAATCAGAAGGGTGGGCCAAGGAAACTAAAGTTTCTATTTTTGTGGTGTGGAAATTGGTCTATAATTAATTACAGGGGTGAGTTATACAATTCTGTTAATACATTCTACTAAAATATTGAATTATGGATCTTGAGTAAACTTTATAGAACATGAATTAAATCTCAACATTTCATATTTATATAAACATGAAACACACACACACACACACACATATATATATATATGCATTTTAATTTATCATTTGACCTCAAGTATATTTGAATGAAAATGAATTTAGAAACTGATCTCTAATCTTTGCCAGAAGGAAAACTTTTTTCTATTTTTTTTTTTTTTTACTTAGGTTTTTTAGTTTGGGAAGTAACCTAACAAAAGACAGATTAAAGGCAGGTAACACAGATCTTTATTATTATTGAAATATATTTAAGACTTCTGTGTCCTTTTAACAAAGGCAGAGACTTTGACCTTCAAGACATGATTTGCTTTGGGCAACAGACTATGAAATGTGTGGGAGAATTAACTGAACTTTTGACTTAGTGAAATCTGATGTACAATCTCATTTTGATATAGATACTTCCACATTCCATGAAAATGGTCTGTCTTCTCCACTGGTACTTTAAATGGAAATGCATGCTTTGCTTTAGCTAGATAAGGAGATGGACAGAGTAGTATTCCACATGTATTGATTCTCAGGTATCTTTATCTTAAAATAATCATTGTCTTGGAAACACTGGCATGTTATGCAGCCTCCTCCTTATTTTTCTCAATGTGTCGTTTCTTCAGTAATATGCTGAAATTTGTATTGCGGAACTCATGGATTAACAAGATAATGAATCTTAGGTGTTTTGGTTCTAGACTTTTTACCTTCTCTTATTTTAGGGCTTTCTGACCATATACTGGCAGACATTATCTTCTTTAGAGGGACTGAATGCTTTCAGATTCTTTGGGTTTCCTACTGCTCAGGTACCACAGTTTCTATCAATGCAAAAATCTCTCTCTCTCTCTCTCCCTCTTTCCTTTCCTTAATAAGCAGTTGAGAACATCAGATTGGTATTCACAAAAATAAACAAACAAACAAACAAACAAACCCTCAAAACAGACTAGCACTTTTCTCCCTGAAGTTCTCATTGGTCTATAAGAGATAGCTCAGAAGGTAAACGTACTGACTATGTTTTCAATATTGTCACGTTTATTAACCGTTTTAACTGTATTTTTAAATAATTATTAAATTGTCCTTTTTCGAGATAGAGATTTTAACACAATTTATGCACATGGATACTTTGACTTTAGGTGTGTCTGTGTGCTCCATATGTGAAATGGCTGAGGCCGTAAGAGGATCTGGGATCCCCTGGAACTGGCGTTACCAACCATTGTCAGCTGCTGTACATTGCTGAGAATCAAACCCTGCCACTCTGGAAAAGCATTCGGTCCTTTTAAACACTGAGCCATCTCTCCGGACCTCTTGAAATAATTCTTAACGGAAAGGAGAGAGCGTTGTAGAGGCAGCTGTGACATTTCAAAGTGCAAGTTGTGCTCTCCATGCTCTGGTGAATCTTAGCCACACACAAGTGAAAAGACACTGTATTTCTGTGTATCTTTGTGGAGATAAATATGTCACTGCCGCTGATCCAAAGGGCAATAAAAATCAATTCAGATTACATGATTAATGCTAACAAATTGGCCAGCCTCCCTCATCTTCATTTCTAGTATCCGTTCTCCAAGTCCAAACTCTCAGTTAGCTGATCAGTACTTCTTTCTCATTTCCACCTTTCTGTGACTGTTGTTCCCAGCCAGGATGGCTTTTCTTGACACATGCCATCTTGCAGTTTACTAGATTTCTCCCGGGAGAGGGAAAGAATGTGATGGCAAACCTGCCTGTGATAGCCCTTGTCTCAGGGTCCATAGGTGTTCCGTGTAGTCTTCTGGGCTAATAGGTCCAGAAGAGAATCAAATTATGAGCTACCTATTTTTTGTCATGCTAAATATAAGAATGACAGTTACAAAGATTCAGTCTTTCTAAAATCAGTTCATGGTTTCCAAGGTTTTAGTGAACTGAGACTTTCTTTGAGGAAAGATTGAATTAAAACATTACATTTTGATCCAAACGCTTCTAGCCTTGCAGGTTCGTCACAAAGTTGCCTAATTCTTTATGGTTTTTTGTTTTGTTTTTAAAACATGTACACATGCATGCTGCATATAGTCTGCATAGTGATGGCTGTTTTCATGTGGCTGCCTGTTAGCTATTATCCAATATGGTAATCAAGTATGGTCCAATAACAGACGTGAAATCAATATTACTTCATACAGTGAGATTATTGGGGGTAAATACCAAGTAAATGATATATTACTGTTATTTGCAAGAATTAGACTTTGAAACAGACTCATCCTTTAATGATACAGGGTTTTAAGAAACAAAAAAGATTGCTAGAGTCAACTGAGCAGTGTATCTGAACAGGTAGTTTTCTAGGTTAGCTAGTCTGAACTTTTTAATAAACCATATGAAGCCCAGACTGGTAACTGCACAACTGGCAATATATTCCCTTTATAATGGTGCTTTAAGTATTCCACTGGAACAGGGCCAGTGGATTTGCAATATTCTTAGTTACCATTCTGAGGAACGGTGGACCTTACATCAGCTCCAGCATCACTACTGTTAGTGGCAAAAATACTGTGAGCAACAGCAGCTCGTATCAACAGGGAGCCATATTAATTATTTGAAATGTGCCTCGTAAGAGGAATCAGTGGCGTTTATTACAAGCCGAATATTACTTGAAACGGGAAGGTTACTCTGTTATCATAATCTATGTATCATTAACTTTCCTTGTTTAGGAAAAGAGATTAACAACCCTGTAAATTGCCATAGTAAATGCGTAAAGTATAACTACGTATTCCCATGTACAAAGAGAGTGGTGGCTTCTCCACCTCTGCCCAAATCTTCTTTGTATGAAGTAGCTTCAGAAAACGAAATGACTCGGTAATTACTCGTTCTTTCTTCAGAATCCTAATGGCTTCTTGGATCATCAGTAAAAATGATAGCTACTTTGAGCATCGTAATTTTTCTTTAATTTACGTCAGTCTTCTTTTTTGTGTTTCTTGATGGGTTGATGGGGGACATAATTGCACTATGTTGCCAAGACTAGGCAACTGAACTTTTTTAAAAAAATGATTATTTTAGTTTTTAAATCAACATTTGTATTTTTTATTTATTAGAAAAAGTATGTTAAAAGGAAATATGTGAGGGTGGAGAATGCTTTCCAAGAACAGAAAAAGAACCTACCTTCTTGCTATTTGAATTCTGGCTAGTTCTTCCTTTTCTATCAAGTTACAACCAGCGGATTAAAATAGATTTCCCTTCCAACTATGGAAGAAATGCCTTAAGGAAAAACATGTTTGTCAGGGTTCCAACACCCTAAGTGCCATCCAGATATTACTTGTACATGGAGTATTAGTTTGAAAATTGTTTAACACTGATGGACAGTGAAATTAGTGCAGCTGACAGTGCCAACAATACTGGAGCCAGAAGACAGAGCACTGAAAGTCTCTTTATTCTTAATAACTTTAAAGTATTCAGATAGACATATTTATGTTTCTGAGGTTTTTATTTTTTTCTTAACACCCAGTTTACAGATCCACAATCATCTACAATTTCAATAAAAAGCAAATTAAAAATTAAACACACGCATGCCACAAACACACACACACACATAGTCCCCAGCACTTGGTAAATACATGTAAGTCATTCCTGACTACATTGCAGTTTTAAAAGTCAGCCTGGGTCTCACAAGAGCTTGTCTGGGATAAAGAGACAGAGAGATAGAGAGAGAGAGAGAGAGAGAGAGAGAAACAGAGACAGAGAAAGAAAGAAAAGGAAGAGGGAGGGCAACCCGTAAAGAAGAATATAAATCATTTTAAAAGATCTATACATCTATCTTGGTTAGAAAGAAGAATCAATTTAATTGGGTGAGGTTGGGTTTATGTTTAAGAAAATTGTTTTATAATCTACAGTGGCTATTTTTTTCTGTGTGAAATAAACAATGATAGAAAATCCTAAACTTTTTAAAATAAAAGACAGCTATAATGTGTATTTTTGTATTATTTATTTGTGTTTCTGCATGCACATGTGCGTGTGCGTGAACTTTCAGGCCATTAGTCATAAAGCTAGAAGTTGAGGACAGCTTGTTGGGGTCATCTCTCTCCTTCCATAATAATGGCCTAGGGATCCATAACAGGTTCCTTTCCCCACCGAGCCATATCATGGTTCCTACGATGTCTTAATATTTCCTTTTGTGTTCACAGGGCCAGTGCATCATGGACAAGTTTCCTACATCTCGCCACCTATTCACCTTGACTCTGACCTAGAACGACCCCCTGTTAGAGGTAAGTTTTCTTGATTAAGGGAGAAGAACCAGTATTCAGTGCGGAGTAAGGGTAATTAATGAAACTGGAGGTTGTTATAACATACATTTTTCGTACAGTACCTGTTTAGAAATGAAGAAAACTAATGTGTGAATAACAACTCAGAAAATCTAACTTACTAAAAAGGTATGATATATTGTTTAAAGAGATAGATGAATCAATCGATTCAAAAACTAGGTACCTGGAGGCATTTAAATAGAGGGCTGTTTGAATCCCTGTTGTATGTGGAGACTTTTCTCTGTCCCGCCAGTCCTGCTGGATTCGTTTCTCTCCAGCTCACTGGTCCTACAGTAAATTATAAAATAATCATTTGAAGGCTTAATATTAATTACAAACTATTTTGCCTATTATCTCAGGTTTCTTTGTGGCTAACTCTACATATTAATCAACCCATTACTAATAATCGTGTATCGCCATGTACCCCATGCCTTACTTGTTGTACTCTGACAGCTTATTTCTCCGATGGCTGCTGGCTTCTCCCTGACTCTGCTTTCTTTCTCTCTGTCTCTCTACTTGGATTTCTCACCTCGCTATCTTCTGCCCTGCATTAGGCCAAAGCAGCTTCCTTACTAACCAATGGTAATAAAACATATTCACACCATACAGAAGGGAATCCCACATCACCTATTTAGAATGAAAGGTCACCAGATTATTGCTCGGATTTATCTTTCTATCATCAAATGTTTTTATTAGTGAATTCTTGTTTGCAATGTTATAATCAAAGTCACAGTGAAAGAAATTTTCCTTGGAAATTCGTATTTTTTATGAAAAATTTTCAAAGTCTTTGAAATGTCTGTATTATTATTGATTTATAAAATCATGTAGATTAAAACGGTTTTCCCTGGATGCCAAGAAAACTCATTTGAAAATATTTTTCAATAAAATAAATAAAAAGTGAAAGATAACATTAGTTAGCTTAATATGTAAATATAGAATTCATTTTCTGTTTTTTTTAAAGAAACAAAAATTTTTTTTCTGTTTTTGTTTAAAGAAACAAAAAAAATTTTTCTAGTCCCTACTCTTCAAAATATTTCATTGTGTACAAACATAATGTTCCACAGTCATATCTTCCAGTTTTACAGCTAACAACTATGCCAGGGTTAATATTTTGGTTTTAAGTATATGGTGTTTTTTTGTATCAAAATCATCAAAGGCTTAACAAAAACCAGTAGGTATGAGTTTTTTAAGGTTGTCTTCTGTTTGAGCAGTTCCTTCTGGCAGTCCCTTATCTCCTGTGCATCATGTAGAATTCTGTTGGATAGGAGGGCTGCACTTTCCCACCTGTCTGGCAGTGTCCCTTGACCTACAAAGAGGCATTCCATGCACAATCACCCCATGATTCCCCAGGTTATTTCCCCTAAGACATTGTATTTGATTGGCCAGTGGGCATGCTTTCCTCCCCTATCTTTGTGCTCCTGGAGGACAGAGTGTTGTAATTATTGTTTCCGAGCCACTGGGCTGAGCTTAGTACGCAGTTGAAAGCACTCCAGTGATTTCTGTTGAAGTGACCAACAGTGAAAAGCAATAGAGTAAACACTTCTGAAAATACTTTTCTGTTTTACAAGAGACCAAGTTCCAGGGTACATAAGGGACTCCCGTGGAGAAAAAGCACAATGAACCAACACAGAAACTATGAGTTGTTTTTGTCGTTTTTAAGAGAACGTGCTGGAAGGGAAGATTAGAATGATGAAATATGACAGCTTTTAAAGAATTCCATATTCTGTACCATAAGGTTTGTAATTTGTCCTGGGGAAAGGTTCTTTTGGGGTGTTTCCTCCCAAATGAAGGATGTATCATATTATCAGTTCTGGCTGGAAACAAAGATACCCTCTCTGGCATTAGGGTAGATGATAAGGTGATTGGGGAAGAGGTTGGCAAAGGAAGGCAACTCCCCTAGTTAAGATGAAAGAAGATGGTGTGCTTCACTGGCATTATGCCAGCAGTGATGAGAGGACCTGAAACATAGCGGAGGTGTGGTATCTGGATGACTGGCACACGGATGGAGCTAAAGCACCTCTGAGATTGCTGTGTTGACTGACGGCTCATGTAGCTTGAGTGTTTGTACCCTTTCCAGATTTTATGTTGAAATTTAACCCTCAGTGCAGCAGTTCTAAGGGAGGCCCTCTGCGCTCACAGGTGTGGGTGTTAGCATCAAAAGGGAAGAGACTGTTCAGGTGCCCAGTTGCTTTGTCGTGCTCCTACTGTGAAGTGTGAGAGTGATCATCTTAGAGAGGGAGAACAAAATTCTCCTGAGTCGGAAAGCCTCTTGGATTCCCGAGCTTCTGAAATTGGAGGAAAATATATTTATCTTCTTTTTAAAATTACCCAGTTTGTCAGAGTCCAGGCTCAATGGGTTCATACGTTCCAGGGTAGGGGTGTGTGGATTAGAAATATTAGGCAGAAAAAACAGGGATGCAAAAGAAAAAGACAGAGACACAGAGCAGAGTCGGGAGAAGAACCCAGTGAATACTGAATTTGTTCATGTTTATTTCCCATATGCTTTATATACCCCAATCCAAAAGGGGCCAGGGGTGGGGGAAGCCAAAAACTGCATTACATTGATTACAAAGAACAAATAGAGCAATTACCTCTTCAATATCTGAAGCTTCAAGTAACTATATCCTGCATTAAGTATTCTGTTGTTTAGGCAGAACATACATCGACCACACCTTAGGAAAGGCATCCTATAGGCAACCACACCCTGGATCAAACCTCCTGTCATATAATTGAAGGAGCAGGAATAGGTTTGTACTCTCTGACCTTTGATCAAGGTGAATCGGATCCACACCCATGGGCTCTAAAACCAGTGTCAAATATTTTGATATGGTAACACAGAGTGATTGATATGCCTACTGATAATGACAAAATATCGCATGAAGAATAGGCATGAGTTTGAATTGATACATTGATTTATACATGATAATTATTCAAATACTGTTCTTTCCAAGACTGAAGAACTGTTTATACAAGTTGAGTACTTTATCATACTCCCATTATTTAGATGTGATCCCTGTATAATTTGAGAAAGAGCATTTGCAAGTCATAGCTGGGCTGGATGGTGGTGGTGCATGCCTTTAATTTCAGCACACCTGAGGAAGAAGCAAGCGAATCTCTGTGAGTACAAGACCAACCTGGTCTGCACAGGTAGTTTCAGGATGGTGAAGGCTACAGAGAGAAACCCTGATTAGAAAAAATAAAACGAAACAAAAGCACAAAAAAGTCATGACTGGATGGGCATGGTGGCACATGCCTTTAATCCCAGCCCTCAGAAAGCAGAGGCAAATGCATCTCTGTGAGTTTCCTGGTGTAGGAAGTTTCTGGACAGCCAGGGCTACACAGGAAAACCTTGTGCTGAAAATCAAAAGGCATGACTGAAATGAAAAAAGAATATACTCCAAAACCTTATAAATCTAGACAGCAGACATACTATCACTTTGAGAGTTGGTTGACTAGACTTTGTGCTGATGTGGTTAAATGCTCAGTTGTCAGCAGTCCGGCTGGTTTTGTCAGGGCATAGGTCAAACATGTTTTAACAAATGCCTTGCTGTCATTAGGAAGTGACCTAATGCCTCTCCTGATGCTCTTCAATCTGGTCCAGCACCTTTGCTGTCGTGGCAGAATGGGGCCCCAGTAATAGGAAGCCTAGCTTGAGGTTGAGCCACTACTTAAGTCAGGTTTGCCTAGTGTCTCATTTGTCATAGCAAGTCACATAGCCCACCTCAGACTTCAGAGAGCAGAAGTCAATTACGTCTTATCATGGAGGAGTTACAGTTCAAAGAAACCTGGATACATGAAGAAAAGGAGTGTGAGAAAATTGAAAAAGAAAACATATGAAAATAAAATGAATTCAGAAAGGCTCTAAAAATGTTTGATTTGGAGGTTTGGGGCCCTTTTGATTTGCGTGTTCTCAACCGCCTCACAGACCTGAAGGTGGAATTTAAAGTGTCTGTGAATAGTGAGGACATGGAGCAGTGTCCAGCGTTTGGTGAACCCTGCATAATATATAGCTGTTACTGCTGTTTGAGTTCAGTGCAATGCCATGATACTAGGCTAGTCTGGCAGGGTTATTAGAATGAAAAAAATACATATTAAGCACTTGCCTCATACCAGACCTTGAGAAATTCTCAGGAAGGTAGGTAGCCATTGTTAAGACCTGGATTTCAAGCCGGGCGGTGGTGGCACACGCCTTTAATCCCAGCACTCGGGAGGCAGAGGCAGGTGGATCTCTGTAAGTTTGAGGCCAGCCTGGTCTACAAGAGCTAGTTCCAGGACAAGAACCAAAAGCTACGGAGAAACCCTGTCTCAAAAATAAAAAAAAAAAAAAAAAGACCTGGATTTCAAATGACATCTCCTCTCTATTGATGGGTGCTTTTGAGCTGGTAAAGACTGAATGATGGTCTCCCACAGTTAACCAATCCTTAATCCTTACCCCAGACAGTATAGAGATTTTATTTTTATATAACTTTTTAAAAGAACACCAACTTTAAAGTCAAAGTATCCATACCCATGAATCTTCTTCATCACAGTTGCCTACACAGGACCCACATAAAGATGACATCAGTAGACATGCAACATGGAGGGGAACTGCCCTCAGAGAATGACTGTCTTCATGGGTCCTCATGCTCCAACATGAATTGACCCACAGACCCTTTATTTGCGTTTATAGTCGCTGCTTCGTGTGAAACAACTTTTGTTTGTTTGACTAAGAAGGAACAGTTAGGGGCTGCAGAGGTGATTCCGGGCTAAAGCCCTGGCCTCACAGCTGTAAAGATGAGGAATATCCCCAGAACCCACTCAAAGGCCTGGTAGGTAGGGTGATGTGCATGTAATTCCATTGCTAGAAGGCAGTGATGGGGGATCTGTAGAATGACCTGGTTAACTCAGCTAGTCAGACCAGGAGCTTGGTTTCAATTCAGAGACTCTGCTTCAGGAAATAAGAGAGAGTGGGATTGGGAACAATG